GGGGGCGGGGGCGTCAACCACACATTCCCGCTGATCCATGAGCGACGGGCGGCCCACAATGGCGGTGTGGTGATATGAGGAGGGTGCATGTAGCGTCAGCACAGTGAGCTCCGAGACAGGACAGGAGCACAAAGGGGTCCTCCCCCCCCCACCCCCTTTTCCGCTCTTGCCACAAGGGGCTCCACCCACATCAGGGCAAAGCCACAGGCTTTAGCTGAGGTCCCCGTCTCCATCGCGTCCCACATACCGCATGGGAATCGCGGCTGGGCTGCAGGCGTACTTTGACGTTTAAAAATAAAAAATGAAATAAAATTCACAATTTTTATAGAGTGGGCTGTGCACTTTTCGGATTACAAAAGTAATACTAAACTTTTGGCAAAATTTGGAGCGGTCATTCGTTTCCTGCATACTTTTTTCGTGCGCCTTAGCACAAGACACCAAGTGATGCCATACTGACCGTCCCAGCAGTCTTCGCCGCAGGTGCTGCCGGGGCCGTAGTCCATCTCCAGGTAGGCGTAGGTTGGCTCCTGCGCGGCCTCGGGGACGATGCGCGCGTACTGCACGCCGCGGTCGCCCCGGCGGTCGCCGCCACCGGAGGAGCCCCAGCCCGGCAGGCCGAGCGGAAGGCCCGGCATGGTAGCTGTGGCGGAGGAGGGCTGCCCCTGCTGCTGTTGTTACCGTCGGAGTGGAGGAGGCGGGCACCGCGGCTGCCTGGCGACAAAAGAGCAGCTGCCTGAAACGCAAGTCGACGGAGAAGTCACTCTACATACACCGACCCGTAAATTTGGTTGGAGAGACCTTCCCGTGGCCAGAGAACAAACTAAAATCAAAGTGAAAACTTTCAAACTTTGTACAAATTCTGTATGCACGTAAATAGGGAGTGATCCCCCACTCCACCCTTCCCTCGCGGTGCAAATGAAAACAAAAAGGCGGACGTGTAAAAATCGATCAAAATCGGGCAGAATAGTGGGCCGCTGGATGATAAGCCGCCTGTCATGAATGGCGGGAGGGGGGAAGGGGGAGGTGTAGCCTGGTGCCAGCTGGCCGCTCCCACACCCCACACACAGCACACACACTCTCCGCGCGCCGGGCACCACAACACAACACGAGTCAACATACACCAGCAGCTCCCCCGTGCCACGCACGCGCGTGTTCTCCAGACGCATGTTACTGCTGCTAATCGCATGTGTATACACATGTCACGAAGTGCGTTAAAACAGAGTGTGTCGTCATAGGCCTACTTATCAAGGAAAGCCAACAAAAACCTATCGTAAATTTATTTTTTTAAAGTTTCAAATAATAAAAATTAACTTGTTATAGAACTGCATGTGACACATGCGAGAATATAGTGCGTGCATGTGGTTCGTAGTATATTATAAACATTTTTTCCCCGTGAGCAAAATCCCTTAATTACTTAAGCTTAATGATCCCCCCACCACTCCTCGCTCCCCGCTTGCTCCCCCCTTTTTGCGCCCGCCCAATCAGCGCCGGGCTCACAGCGGCTCACCTCAGGCAGCGCGTGCTGCAGCGCTGGCCACCACCACCGCGTCGACCTTCCTGGCCGTCACCGTCACCGCCGTGTCCCCCGCCCGTTGCGTGTCCCGTTGCGTGGCTCCGTCCCCGCGGCGTGCGCCCGGCGCATCCAGCAGTGCCGCTGGCGTGCCGCTGGCGTGTCGCCGGCCCCCGGAGCCCTGATTGGAGAGAGGCACCATACCGCACGACACGCGGCCCGTTAGAGCGGGCGACAAAGATGATAAGGACACGCGCCCCGCATCGCACTTCCGACCGAGACGGGGAGCAGTGCGGTCGGTCAGGGATCATCCAGGGGGGGAGTAAGCCGGTCATTTCCTGCCGTTATGAATCTGCGCCAAAATTTCGGCGTTCGGCCTGAGCGAGCTCTCATAGCGCCTGGTAGGTAGGCAACATCTTCCAAGCGATGCATGCGTGTACCGCGGGGTGGCCTACCCCGTGTCTCGCAGGCGGCGAGCCCCCAGCTCTCGTAAGTATGTCGAATGAATCTGATGAATACGGGCACACTTTCTGGAAGATCCGACACGCGCTTGACACTTTTTGAAAATCACCGAACTTATTGTGTGAATTATGAAGACATTTCGTAAATACAACTACAGGAAAGAACCATTAGAGCCTTTGGGAGTAGCGCACTACTGAACGTGGGAGTGTGACCACATAGTGGTCACGCCGCTCTGAATGTGTCATACTGGCTGACAAGACAAATGTCATCAAGAATTGATTGAAATACCTTTACAAAATCCTGTTGGCACCCTCTTTCGTATGTATTCGCATCTCCGGGACGCGAGCGGGGCGCTGTCACCACGGCTTACTTCTTGTCCTGCGGTCCCCCGCGTGTTGCTCGTCGCCCTGGCCCGCCGCTGCGCCCGCTCGCTCGCTCTCGCCCCGCTGACTCGCTCTCGCCCCGCGCCCCGCACACTGAGGGAGGGAAGCGGCGCGACCCCCGACCCCGGCCCGACTGCGCCTGCTGCGGCCCGCTGCGGGCCATCCCCACCACCTCGGGGGTTGCGCCTCCCCCTCCCTCCTCCCCCACGACTCATCCACGCGCTTGCGTCCAGCCCCCCACCTCGCGCGCCCAGCCAAGGTGGTAAAGGAATCATTTGAAAGATTGATGCTTCCCACCGGGGCTGCACGCTGCGCTCCGCGGGGTCCTGCCGTGGTCCTACATACCTCAGTCCCGTCCTCTCCGATAGGCCAATACAAAAAACACTCCGCAAGCAACCCAACGCAACTACTCTCAGTCCGTGCTTCGAGCTCCTTGTTGCGTCCCATCTCCGTCACACCGAGTTCCAAATCGAAATATTCGAAATGATGTTGTTATATGTCACTAACCTAGCGTAGGTTCACCACAAATCTCTCCCCCCCCCTCTCTGGTTGTGATTTCACATAGATGTCTGCGTGTTTCTTTACTTCGGCTGAGATTATTTTGTCCGTTATATTTTAGAAGGCCAGAATCGGGGAAAATGGAGAAAATCTACTTTCTGGCAGAGTTTTTCCTGTGATTTCCCCTCCCCTCCGCTTATTATCTTCATCCCCCTTCCCCTCCTCAACTCCCCGCGCAGCGGCGGCCGTGAGCTCGCATACGGCAGCGGCCCAGGCCCAGCCCCCCCGCGGCCCCCGACGAGCAACGCTGCGCCACGCCACCCCAGGCTGACGCCAAGCAGGCCACCAGCAGAGCAGCGATACATATTGTATGAGCAAAGGAGTTTTACACGAAACATTCGCGTGGAAAACAACCGCAGCAGCAGAGGGGCGACATTCACTTGAGCCAGACCGGCCAGACACACACAGGCACACGCGCGCGTACCCGAGTGGTCCAGAGCATTGTGCACAGCAGCAGAGCAGAGCAACTAGCAACACAAGTGAAATAAGCTCAGGCGACGAAAACACCCCCGCCACCCCACACCCAAACAAATAAAAATAAACACAAGAAAAAAAAGAGGCCTTCGTTGTCTGCAAATAAATCATGAAGCGATTTTACTCATCGTATTGTGTGTTGGGAAGTCTGGCTTCCACCACGCGCCTTCTCGTCGTGGGAGGATTTATTTCCAGCGCCAGCAGGAAGCAGGCCTCCTCCTGGAGCCTTCCATTAGCCTCCACGTGTAAGGCAATGCGTCTCTGCCCGCCGGCTGGCTGGAGGAGCAAGTGCGCGCCGCCGGCGCCGCAGGGCGGGCCGGGGTCGCCGACTGCACGGCTCTGGCGCACGCTGGGTTGCCTACCCCACAGGGCGCAGGCCGCCTGCTGGAGCCTCCAGACAGTGCGTCTCTGCCCGCTGCTGCCTGGAGGTCGGGGCCCCCGGACGCGCCGGCGGCACGACGCTGGCGCACGCTTGGTGGCCTACCCGCCCCCAGCAAGGCGCACCCCGCCGCAGCTCCGACACGACCGGCTACGCCCCCGCGCAACTACACACCAACATAAGTGCACATCCAGCCATTTTAAATTCCATTCTTTGCTCTTACATGTAAATGTATTTTTATGATTTTGGTTTAGCGTTGAAAGTGAAACAACGTAGCAGACATAAAACGGGCGTAGCTGCAGAACAGATCGTTTGGACCGAAAGTTCTGCATTTATGTCTTATTGCGATTAGTGCACAACGAGTGCAATAATGTTCGCCATGACATAACATGCTATTTCCGACACAGTACTACGTATGCGTTTTTGTGGATTTATCGTCCTGAAAATCGGTTGCAAGATGCCTTTGATAATGAGTAAGCCGAGTGTACACACTTGGCTTTATAAAGAGAGAGCGTATCGATGCGTGCGATGGTGCGAGAAGCGGTGTGAGTGTGTGTGTGTGTGAGTGAGTAGGTATGTGTGTGCGCGTGCATTTTCCAGGAGCTCCTTCCCGACGTGGAAGACCCCCTCCCCAAGGTCGTCGTCACGTCGCCCAGGGTGGCCCCGGGCGGGGCAGAGCAGGGTGGGGCGGGAAGAGGAAGGTGGCCAAGCCGCAGCAAAGGCCGAACCACACGGAGAAAACGCGAGGAGTTAGCGGACCTGACTTGGGACGCGTCCAAGAATGAGTGAAATTCGGTAAAAGCTTTTAAAGCGGACCGTGGCGGGGCGTGGCGGCGCGGCAGGGTGTGGCGATGAAAGGCACGACGGCGGGGCGGGGCGGGGCGGGGCTGGGTGTCAGCGTTGTTGGGGCGTGGTGGACTTAGTGACTCACTGACCCGGGGGAACCGGCACCAGATTGCCTGCCGATGCTTTTGTTAATCTCTCTCGCACACACACGGGGCGCAGAGCGCAAGCGCGCACCCGACTCCGCACCCTCCTCGCTCGCACTGCCTGGTGGGTACACAGCGAGAGGGTGCCCCGCCCCTCCTTGGTGTTCTCCGGCAAACCAAGAAGGAAAGCGCGACAAAGCTCCGAGCAAACCATGACGCAGGACGGCGGAGGCCCCCCGGATATGTTTGTGCAGCAAATACGAGAGGCGGCACGGCTGGAGCTGGAGCGCGAGCTTGGAGAAGCTGGAGAGCCATTGGAGAAAAGGGAAAAGGGTCGTCGGCGCGGGGCCGGGCGGAGGAGAGGGCGCCTGACGGAGGCGGGGTAGGCAACCTGGCGGAGCCGTGGTGTCGTGCGGGTCTGCCTACCCGAGCCTCGGCAGGCTGAACGGCGGGCAGGAGCGAGGAGTGGCGAAGTATCCTTCTGTTTCCAGAGGGGAAATCACATATAAATGGGGGAAACCGGAGGAAACGCCATCTTTTTTTGAAAACGTCTTAGCAGTTCCGGTTCCGTTGTGTTTTTTCTTCGTCTTCTTTTTTTGTGGGCAGTGTCACTAGCTGGGCATTACTGCCCCGACTTCTTCTTTGGGGTCTAGACCCGGCGCCGGCGCAGCGAGACAAGGCGGGGATTGTGGAGTTGCCGTGTGGGAACGGGGACTCGGCCGCCGCCGTCGTCGTGGTCGCGTCGATGTCGCCCGGGCGGCAGGAGGCCGGGCGGCGGCCGGGCACCCCGCCCATCAGGCTAGCCCGGCTAGCCGGCCGGCCGCCGCCCGGGCCCCGCGACGGCTCCCAGCCTTCCGTAAAACGAGTCTGTTGAACGGGACACGGGCCGAATAATAAATCGGAGCACCGCAGGGCACGGCAGGGCACGGCAGGGCACGGCAGGGCAGCGGCGTTCAGTGTTGACACTGGGACTGGGAGGGTGATCAGCGGATCACCCCCCTTCCCCCTCCTCTCACCACCCGGCACTTTTTCGCATTCCTTCCTCTCCCCAAGTCATTACTGCAGCCACCCGACTAGCCTCTGTTAAAAACTTTTCCTCCAATAGTGAATAAGTCAACATTAGGGTGTTCCAAAATGAGAATTTCAGCGTGTTTGAGCATGGCTTGCGCATTCTTCCCGATAACGTGTTACAGAACTAAATCCGGAAATCGGAAACCATGATCAATTGCTGCTCTCACTTTCATTTTGAAACACACCCCAACCAACGTAGAGGATGTACTTTTTATTCCCACATTAACTGGTCTGAGACCAACTATTAAGGTCCGGAGTCTGAATCCCTGATGGATCCATCCGAAAACAGGGGCCACGATCACGGTCTCGTCGCCCCGCCACGCCGCGCTCTGCCCCGGCCATCTTCACAAAAATCAGAGCACGGTAACTACGAGCAGAGAGGGAACCAGTTACGTGGATGTAGGGCCGGGGCTCGAACGCGCCGGGGCCCCATCCAGGTTCAATGGGCGTCCGCCCCCCGTCCCTCCGTCTCGTCTGGTCCAGCAGCGGCAGCGCGGCCAGCCTGCCGGCCCGCCACGCAGTGGGACGAAACTTACAACCCGGACGAACCGAACGTCCATCACGTGGAAGAGGTTCGAAGAGGGGGAGGCGGGGCGAGGGGGGAAGGCGAGCCCGTGAACACCGCGCGCTCCAACCCCTCCCCCTCCCCCCCGACCCTAAGACACACTCCTGCCCTACCGAGCAGCCTTGGCACTGGTAGGCGTACCCACGGGATCGACCTAATGACCTACTCCGTGGTGGGCATATGGTGTGCTGCGCCCTGCGCGCAGTGGTCGCCACTGCACACCCGCCACCCGCGTCCGCGCCCCCGGCCAAGGCTGAGTGAGCACTCACGTAACACACAGAGGCCATAACGACCCGTTAGTGAAACGTTTCAGTGACTTTCTCCGTTATTTCAAGCAGTGGCCGGTCGCCGCACCGTGAACCAGGACGCTTTCTCCCCTCCTCCTCCTCGGACTCCCGATGACTCCCGGTGGTGGTGCTCCCCCCCCCCTCCACTCCTCCAATCTCAATCGAGCCGGGCTCACCATCACCTTGCACTCACGCCCCCCTCCCGCACTTGACCGAACCCGCTAGTAGTACTCGAGGATGTGGATAGTAAAGCGTTAAAAGACGACGTTCAACAGGAAGCGCAACCAAGGAACTTCGCTGGAGGGACTTATACCACCAGAACCTACGAATGCATTTTTAGAGCCGGCGACAAGTCGCCAAAGGTCGTCTGCTAACTAGCTAAAAAGATAAAACCGTCAGGTTGGATAAGGTAGTGCAGTCGAAGTTCTTGTGTCCAATGAACGCCGGCGCGGTGGTGTATTATACCGTCGAAAGAGTGTCCGTCGCCGAAACACGTTTGTGCTTGAAGATAGGCGTGCTGAACACTGAGGTTACGTGATCGCACCCTCGCTGGTCCTCGCCGTCTCCGTGCCCGCGTCCTCGACGACGCCCCGCTCGCGATCGCCACCCACACGGCCCACGGGCCCAGCCAGGGTCGGTAAACCTTTACGGGCACCTGCAGCTGCCCAACCACGAGCTCAACTACTCTGAGCGTGAGCACGGACACGAGAGGCCTTCAGGCACTTGCTGCAGCTGCCGCCAAACCGACAGATAAACGTTGAGCTTGACCACGCGAGGAACCCTTCTGTCACCTGCTGCTGCTGGAGCTGTCCGGCCACGAGTTCGACCGTGAGCTTGACCGTGAGCACGGCCGCGAGAGCAGCCCCCGCTCTTG